AGCAATATATTTTTCTCTTTTATTTTTGATCCTTCAAGTCCTAGTGATGAATGCCATGAGTGGGAAGCCTTTTTATAGTCTATTTCTCCTTAATGCGACCTCCACATCAAATTATAATTGTCACTACTAGAAAATAAGATTTAATTGATAGAAATTTTTGTCAATTATAAGGAAAATTCTATCGATTATAAGTATAATCAATAAATATGATTGACAGTCAAATTTATCAAATAAAGAAGGGGTCGAAAATAGTACATTTTTGTTGATTATACTTGTTTCAGCAATAAAAAAAATTAGAATTAAAAATTTTAAAATTTTAATTTTAATTTTGTAGTTATTAATTAAATTATAGAGTCATTAAACAAAATTCAATGATAAAATCAATCAAGTGCAACAACAATATATATAAAATAATTTTGAGAATAATTGAAAACAAGAATAATATTCAAATATTATGAAAATTAATGGAAAAGTGAGATAAATGATAAGTAATTTACCTATAATAAAATAAAATATCTGTAAAAGGAAAAGGAAAAAATATTATTATACATTATAAGATTTTATTTAAGTAAAAGGAAATGAAAAATATAAATCAAAATGTGAATTTACCTCATAAAATGATTTTGAGCTTAATAATCTGCAAAAATTATAAAAATTATTAGTAGATCAAATAAAAATAATTGAATGATAAATGAAAATAACAAAAAATAAATAAATAAAAGAAAATAAAAAACTTGAGATGAAAGAATGAAAGAAAATGAAGGAAAAGTAGAAGGATGGCAACCAAAAATGAAAATAGGAAAGGTAAAAGGAATGATGAAAGAAAAGTAAAAACAAGAGGGAAAGATGAAAACATGCAATGCAAGAACCAGAAAGGGGAAAAAAGAAACAAGAAAGAAAAATAAAAATGAAAGGGAGAAGAAGAAGAAGTTGATGATAAGAATAGAGGGAGAAGGGAAATGGGGTCAAACATCAATGGGAAAGGAAGGAGGAGGGGAGAAGTAGGAGAAAATGAGAAGATATTTACTAATTATGTTTCTGTGCCCATATAGATAGAATACATTTAATAGAAATTTTGTCGAATTTGTTTTAAAATGGCTCTCAATTATGTTTTAAATTAGATCAATCACGAAATTTAACTTTTTTCAAGTGGAAATGGCAGTATAAATATAATCGATAGCTATTATTGGCTGTCGATTATACTTATATTCAACAGCCATTGGCTGTCGATTATAAATGTAAAAATTTTATAAATATATATGTTAATATTTAATTTTTCACTAGTAACATTTATAAATATTATATATCTCGTAAATAATAAATTTAGTAATAAAAATTTAACACTATCAAATGTAAAATTATTTTTAACTAATATTATACATATATCTACTTTAATTAAATTATCAATTCTAACACTACATATTTACAGTTAATTTTGTTATTATATATACACAAAATATATAATATTAATAAAAAAAATAATCTCACATTTGATAGTATTAAATTTTTATTATCAAATTTATGATTTACAAGATATGCAATAATTATAAATGTTACTAATATAAGGTTAAATATTCACATATATATATCTATGAAATTTTGACATAATTGACAACCGTTATTGGCTCTTGATTATACCCCATATAATCGACTCATTAATAGAATAAATAAAATTTTTGTCGATTATGAGTATAATTGATAACTTTTTGACTGTTGAATATATTTTTATCGTTTAAATGTTATTTTTTAATAGTGTTTTTGTAAAATTTTTATATGTAAAATGTAAGTGATATTATTACGTAATATATGACTTGTAATTAAAATTTGTTTCACTCTGCATGTAATTTTTTTCAATAATTCTCTTTAATAACAAAATTTTCATTTATTGTTAATATATCATACAAAAAAATTTATTTAAAATTATATTCAAAAAGTCAATAAAGTAGTTAAATTGAGTAACGGCCCGCTCCGGCCCAATGACATTACACCCTGGTTAGGACTGTTCACCTCCAATGAGTTGCACGTTTGCGCTTCACGAAAACCCTTTCTTCCTCCCCAACTAATCCTGTAAATAATTACAAATTATTCAAAAAAAAAAAAGTTAAATTGAGACCGACGGAAAAGCAATGTTTTCAAAACCGGATCAGTCATTGAACCGTTTTCATGTCCGGTTCTCGGTTTGACAGGTTCAACCGGTTGAACCGGTGAACCGGCCGGTTCAAACAATAAGGAAGGTTTGATGAGAGGAGCAAGCTATAGGCATGGATTTTTTTATTTGGTGTTGATAATTTTGTAATTTTGTTAAAGTTAAAGGTTAAAATGGGTATAAGAAAGGAATGGGAAGGGTGAAATTGGAAAAAATTGAAAGAAGATTGCATGAG